TCGGTGTTTCCTACAATTTACAAATGTAATGAAATTAAGTCACAATTCAATCATTTTGCTCGTAATTAAGTCATGTTTGTGACCTAAATAAGTATGCAAAAATACACTTATCAAACCCCCAAACTTGAACTATTGTTTGTCCTCAAACCAGATAATGACTTAATTCTGAACAAACATGGCTTAATACCCTGTTGTGGCTCAGGATTGGACTAAGTATTTGACTTTATGAAAATTTATCAGTGCAAAAATGATATCAACATTTACCTGTTAAATGCATACTTGATGTGTGTGTGTGTGTGAATTCATGCCAACATATTAGGTTCATGATGAGTTTGAGTCCCAATCCCAAGGGGTCAAATGTATCCTTACTCGCTCGAGAGATACACAACCCCCCAAACTTATTCTTTTCACTCAATTATCTCGGGATTGTGTTTTAAATTAGGAGTTTACATAGCTGTAGCCCTCACCCTCTCGTAGTTTAGATTAATCTCACTATCACAAATTTACATGTCAAAAAGTGAAGGCTCTCCTAAATTTGATTGCTTCGACACTCAAGATTAAACTAGGTTACTTGACTCGCCTCAAAGGTATAGTTTCTTCAATCAAATGTCCAAGGGCCTTTCTTCATGTTATTGTCTCTCTTTTATTTTTCTCACTTTTCTCTGATTTTTTTTATCATCTTCCCATTTGCTTTCTATATAACCCATGTAACGAGTTTTAGGCCGGTGACTCGCAAACCAATTGGTTTAGGGCACCGGGATTTAAACTCTTGCAGGCTTATTCACTCGAGTTATAAAGGCTCGATCAGATGACTTTTTATTAACCTCTTTCCCTCTTGCTTTCTATATGACCCATGTATCAAGCTTTGGACCGATGACTCTCAGGCCAGTTGACCTTAGGGCACCAGATTTTAAAATATCATTACAGGCTTACTTGCTCGAGTCATAAAGGCATGAAAAAAAGTGTCTTATTCTCACATATTAATTTTATGCCCTTTGTTGTTTTTCTAGACATTTAGTTTCCAAAACCAACCCCCAATTTAAGATTTTCACCTACTCTTCACCCCACTGGTCTAGACAATCCACACAATAAAATTCATTCACGGAGCCCCCCGATCATCTCAATGCTTACCTATAATAGCTCAACCATCATCAAACTGTTTAAAAGTAGTTTACGGGTTAATTCAATAGAGGGTTATCATTTTTTTCCTACTTTATGCTCAAAATTCAGTCATTCACCTAGCATGTCAAGCATGAATAGCGTGCATAGATATTTTCAAGTGTTGTATCAACAAGTATCAGTTATTCTAATTAACACCAGATCCAAAGTTTTCTAGTTTAAACTAGTCCAATAATAACATCATAGCAAGCAAGGCTATTAAACTCATACAAGCATGCATGAAAAGAATTAAAACAAACAGAATAAAATGCAAAGAAATTTTTTTTCCAATTTTTTTTATAACACTCATCGTGCACATATTATGCAATAATGGAATACAGATACTGATGAACACAGATAAAGATTTAAAATTATGTCATCCCCAAACTTAGTTAATACATTATCTTCAATGTAAGATTAACAAAAGATTAAAGACATAATTTTAAGGACAAAATGAAGAAGAAAAATAAAAAATGGGATAAACAGTACTCCCCTGGATCAAAATGGATGAGGTGGTCGGAAACTGGGTCATGATGTACCATCATCTGACGGTGGAGGTGTCATCCAAGGAGCTGCCGGAGCATCCCTTTCAGCTCCCTCATCAAGGCGGACTGCTGTGCCTGCTCGACCTGGATGGCTCTCATGTTTTCCCATGTTTCATTTACCCGCATCTGGATGCCGTCCACGCGGCCCACATACATGTTCAGCCGGCCATTCATGGTATCAGTCTCCCGTTGCATGACTGTGGTGTTGTCCCTGGCATCTCTGATGTAATTTAGTACAAGGTGATTGTCTCTTTGTAAACCCTGCAACTCAGTCCTCATCGCATCGAAATTCTGAAGGAAGCTATGGAGGTCTCGGTTGATTCCCGTGGTGGTGGAGAACATCTGTCTCAGCAACTGAGTATCCACGTCAGCCTGTGGTGCTAGAGCATGTGGGAGTTCCTGATCTGCAGGGACTGGGCCTTGCTCTACCTGCCATCTACGACGCTCATTTTCTTGTTCTTCCCTATGTTTAACCCGAGCCCTTGCTTGAGCTTCAAATGTAGTACGTTTGATCATGGGGCTAGGATTTTCAGGTACCTCCTCAGATAGGAGTGTAACACCCGTAGCCCTACATATGCCACTAATGAGGCTCGGGAATATCATAGTGGAACGGCGATCTCTCCAAGTTCCCAACGTGTGTAGTTGATTGTATATAAGAGTGGCGAGATCTATCTTGTTACCCCGAAACAAGTGGTAGATGAACTCTGCTGTCTGATCAGGAAATGTAGTCCTGTGTGATAAGGGCTCGATATTGTGGCACATGAAGAGCCATAGAATGGCTATGGATGGGGTAAGTTCGATCTGATGCCACTCGATAGTTGCAAGGGGTGATGCATTTTCCCGTCCCATCAAAACTTCAGCCACTTCATTCTAGTTAAATTCAACTGGAATAGGGATCACATTCTCCACGGTGAGCTGGTAGTAATCATGAATAACCTCGGGAGAGAACATAATCCACTTCCCTTGTACCCAAGTCTGATGGAAATGCTTAGAACCTGGCGTGTCAATTTCACTGTTGAAGTTGGTGAAGGACTCTCGGCATAGAGTCTCATAGATTGGATGTGGTCGCTCCACCAACTTGTGCGACCCACAGATCTGAACTAAGTTGACCAACTCAAAACCCGAGAAATCATCAAGCTTAACGGGTCTTTCAGCGTGTATAGTCCAATGGCGTATGATATTCTTATATCGCGCCGCGGTTTCTGCATTTAATAATCCCCGAACTTCCCCCGCAAGCTCTCGAGTACGGGCTATCCCAGTGGATGAGCTTGCTTTTTCTTTCCCGTGCAAAGTTCTCTTAGGAGGCATCCTGAAAAGTTTGTAAAACTACGCTCATAAAGTTTGATGTGAAAAGAATAGGCATGGAGTGAGAAAATAAAATATGCATTGCACAAATCCCCCAAACTTGCTTCAAAATGCATGTGTATGATGTTGATGTGTAAAATGCATGAAACAGATTCCAAGATAATGTTAGTATCAAAGAAATGTGAAACACCAACAAAAATTAGCTCAAAATATACACTTTGATAGAAGTAACCCATGACCAACCTAGAATTTTCACCGTCGGGCATCTCCTAGAAAATTGAAATTTTCCAGAGTGATCTCCGGGCATATGAAAGTGTCCATACTATTCTAGCACATATCCAAAATTCAAGTCAAATGGATGTCGTTTGGGTTGGCAAAATACGTTGCAAAGTGAGTGAAGTGAGGTGCCGTAACGTGACCTAGTCATGTTGTGCCTACAAGTGTTGCCTACGTATGGTCAAGTTTGGTTCTTGTACTTTCCAATTCATGTGTTACGGGAATTCATCACATTACCCCACTCTCATTCATATATTACTCATGTCAAAGCATAGCATGTATACTGTGTATTTCAAGGAATTTATTTAGTGGGTAAACAAGCTCTAGCTAAACAGTACATATTGCAGCATATTCACGAACCCCTCAACTATTAAACCCTGTCACTTCAACAAGCAGAGAGAGCATCAACGTTATTCACATCCCAGTTTGTATATCCAATGCTCAAATTCACCAAAATGCATAACTCATTTCACATTGAAAATTGATCAAACATGTAGCATGCCATTGCATGGGATCTCTAGAATTTCATGTTGTGCCTACAAGTTAATGTACATAGGAATGCATCACAATATGTATTGCAATTCATCCACCAATCACATGCAATGCAAGAAGCAACATAAAGCATAGAATATTCACTATGGCATTTCATCAAACATATAGCATGCATAATGTGAAAGTATTACCAATTTATTGAAATGAAGTTTCAAGTCATCCCATATTCCTCACAACACAATCACAGCAAATCCACCCATACATGAACTAGCACATTCTCTCCCAATTCCTCAAAATTGAAATTTCAAACGTGACTTACCCTAATGACAGAACCGAGAGGGATTTAAGAAACATTACATTGTACTTGTAGGAGTTGATTTGAGTTCAAAAAATGATTTGCTGATTGATTATATTGCACTTCGTATTCGTGTGTAGTGTATGTGATTCGAACTCGGCCGTATGTAGAACTCAGAGTCCTTCGTCGTGAGTGCCAAGTGTGTGGTGTGTGAGACTTTAGATATGAATGACAGTGAGTTGGGTGGTTGATTCACGGGGTGAAGATTGGGAAGTGCAATTGTGACTTTTTGTAGTGAATTTTTGGGTGAAATCGTGCCCTAGAATGCTTGTGTTCGTGAGAGATTTGGGGAAAAATTTGAGGTGGGAATGAAGGAACCGGGCGTGGGTTAAAAACCCACGTCTGATTCTGCCATGCAGCCACATGGCTTTAAGACACGTGGTCACATGGTTCAAGTGGCTTTGGCCACTTGAATTTCGGCCTCTGTTTGTGCGGTCGCACCATGCGACCGCATGAACCATATATATATATAAATGAATTTAAAAATAAAAACTTTGAAAATATATTCAATTCCCCCCAAAATCACTAGTTTGATTAAATTTCACCCCAAAATTTGGTTTTCTTGGCCTAACTTCTCAATGATCCCAACTTTTTCAAAGATACATTTCTAAAAATTTTGGGGTATGCATAGACCATAAACTTAGTGCTCGAAACCAAATTTTTGAAATTCACAATCATGCATTGACATTTGAAATTTTGAAAATAAAATTTTGACTCGAAATGCGTGAATTACACCCCCAATTACCAAACAACTCCAATCAACCCGAACTTGTGTGTGATGCTTAGGGACTCGTGTGGACAGTACTTGGACTCTTTTAACATGTATGGATGATCAATGACCTAATTTGAAAAATGAAATTGAAAAATTCCTAATCTGATGCAAAAAAGCAAAATAAATTAAATTAAAAGGATGCAGTGGGTTGCCTCTCACCCAGCGCTAGGTTATAATCGATAGCTCGACTTTTCTGCAGCTACTTCATTCTAGCGTCCCGAGTTAAACGATGGATTTTTTGTTGGAGAAATCACCGCTCCAGTAGTGTTTCAGTCTTAGCCCATTAACAGTGAAGGTACCCTTAGTTTCATGGCTAACTTGTATAGCTCCATATGGTAAGACCTTCATGACAGTGTAAGGACTTGACCACCTTGATCGTAGTTTTCCTGGGAACAACTTGAGTCTCGAGTTATACAATAGCACTTTCTGCCCCACTTCGAACTCTCATCTCTGAATATGCATGGCATGCCACTTCTTGGTTCGTTCCTTTTAGAGTTTTGAATTTTCATAAGCTTCCATTCTAAATTCATCTAACTCATTGAGTTGCAGTAGGTGCTTTTCACCGGCGACACTCAAGTCCATATTCAACTGTTTCATAGCCCAATATGTCCGGTGCTCCATTTCTAGTAGCAGATGGCAAGCTTTCCCAAAAACTAGGCGGTATGGAGACATGTCTATCGGTGTCTTAAATGCTGTCCTGTAAGCCCACAATGCATTGTCCAGTTTTTTAGACCAATCATTTCTAGATGAGTTCACTGTGACCTCGAGTATTCTCTTCAACTGCCGATTAGATACTTCTACTTACCTGTTCGTTTGTGGATGATATGGGGTAGCAACACGGTGTTTAACGCCATATTTATTCAACAGCTGCTCAAACTGGCGATTGCAGAAGTGTTTGCCCCCGTCACTGATTATAGCTCGTGGTGTACTATACCGGGTGAAAATTTATTTCTTCAAGAACCCAATTACTGCGTTTGAATTATTTGTTGGCAATGCAACAGTATCCATCCATTTTGATACGTAATCCAATGCTACCAAGATGTACTGATTTGAGAACGACGGGGGAAAAGGTCCCATGAAGTCAATTCTCCAAACATCGATTATCTCTACTTCCAAAATGTTATTCAATGGCATTTCATTCCTCCTCGAGATATTCCCAATGCATTGACATCTGTCACATCTCTTGACAAACTTAAAGGCGTCTCTAAACAGTGTAGGCCAGTAGAACCCTGATTGTAGAAACTTTGCAACTGTTTTCGAAGCCCCAAAGTGTCCCGCATATGCAGATGAACGACAGTGCTCGAGAATCTCATGTACTTCTTCCTCAGGTATGCATCTCCTTACTATCTGATCAGCCCTCGCCTATAGAGAATTGGGTCCTCCCAAAAATAATACTTCAATTCGACGAAGAACTTTTTTCTCTGGTGACTCGAGTAGTCTGGTGGTGGGATGGAACTGGCCAAGTAATTAACGATATCTGCATACCAAGGTGCTTCATCTACTCTCAATATCTGCTCATCTAGGAAGATCTCATTGATATCCACTAATTCTTCTGTCTCCCCAGGCTCTAATCGGGATAGGTGATCCGCTACTACATTCTCACTACTCTTCTTGTCTCGTATCTCGATATCAAATTCTTACAGCAACAGCACCCAACGAATTAACCTTGACTTTGCATCATTCTTTGTGAGTAGATACTTCAATGCAGCATGATCTGTGTAGACGATGACTTTAGACCTGACAAGGTATGATCTGAATTTGTCAAATGCATATACCACGGCCAAAAGGTCCTTTTCAGTGGTGGCATAATTGATTTGCGCATCATTTATAGTTCTGCTTGCATAGTAGATCGCATGAAAAATCTTGTTCCTCCGCTGTCCTAATACTGCACCCACAACGTGATCATTGGCATCACATATCAATTCAAAAGGTAGTTCCCAGTCTGGTGCCACAATTACTGGTACTATCGTGAGCTTCTCCTTTAAAGTGTTGAATGCTGTGAGACATTCTTCATTAAACTCAAAGGTTACGTCCTTCATTAGCAAATTGTATAGCGGCTTAGTGATCTTCGAGAAATCTTTTATAAATCTCCTGTAGAACCTCGCATGCCCCAAGAAGCTGCGAACCCCTTTAACTGATGTAGGCAGTGGTAACTTCTCAATAACTTGAATTTTTGTCTTGTCCATTTCAATTCCTTTTTTCAAGATCTGATGCCCAAGTATAATGCCTTCCTGTACCATAAAGTGACATTTCTCCCAATTTAAAACTAGATTAGTCTCCTTGCATCTCTATAAGACCAAATTTAGGTGTTCTAGACATTCATCGAATGAAGATCCAAACACTGAGAAGTCGTCCATGAAAACCTCGATAAACCTTTCAATCATATCGGAGAATATTGCCATCATACACCTCTGAAATGTGGTTGGAGCATTGCAAAGACCAAAAAGCATCCTACGATATGCAAAAGTACCGTAGGGGCAAGTGAAAGTGGTCTTCTCTTGATCATCCGGTGCGACAAGTATCTGATTGTAGCCCGAGTATCCATAAAGGAAGCAGTAGTGTGAATGTCCAGCCAACCTCTCCAACATCTGATCAATGAGTGGGAGTAGGAAGTGATCCTTTCATGTAGCTGTGTTTAGTTTGCGATAATCGATACAAACTCTCCATCCCGTCACTGTTCTTTGGGAATTAATTAATTCTTCTCATTTTTCATCACTGTGATTTCCCCTTTTTTCGGCACCACTTGAACTGGACTGATCCATGTACTGTCTGAAATTGGGCAGATAATTCCTGTATCCAATAACTTCAATATCTCTGCCCTGACTACTTCCTTTCTGTTCAGATTTAATCTTCTCTAACCCTCTATACTTGGCTTGCAATTTTCTTCCATTAGAATTTTATGCATACACCGAGAAGGGCTGATCCCTTTAATGTCAGCTATTGTCCACCCAATCGCCGTCTTGTTATCTCTGAGTACCCTGAGCAATTTTTCTTGCTCCACCCCACTGACTGTGTTCGAAATGATTACTGAAAGTGTATCTGACTCCCCCAAATATGCATATCTGAGATGTGGCGATAGTTGCTTGAGTTCTAAAGCTAGCAGCTGTTGAATGGAGGGCAGTGACTTTGCATTTTTCGTCCCCAGTTCTTCGAAGTGCCTCTTTCGGGTGTATGGCTGGTTGGTCTCTAAAAACCTTGCGCATGTTTCAAATTCAAGAGAATCTGACTGGACTGATTGGGATTGTGAAATGCATGCCTCATAGGCATTAGATGGGCCGTGAAGTAAGAACGTTTCTTGTACTGCCTTGTCAATGATATCAACCTGGTAACAGCTATCTGATTCTGCTGGCAGTTTCATGGCCTTGAAAATATTGAACGATATCTGCTCCTCTCCCAATCTTAAGATCAACTGCCCCCTTTGGACATCAATTAACGCTTTCCTTGTTGCTAGAAATGGTCTGCTAAGTATCAATGAGACGTCCTTGTCTTCTTCCATGTCCAAGATAAGAAAATTCGCTGGGAATATAAACTTCTCAACCTTGATAAGAACGTCTTCAATTATTCCTCTGGGATGTGTCAGTGACCTATCAGCCAGCTGAAGTGTCACAGTAGTCGCTTTAGCTTCTCCCAAGCCGAGTTTCCTGAAAACAGACAGAGGCTGCTTTATCGAAATAGACTTCACCAATAGTGCAAAGAACTGTAAAACTCCCTGGATCTTTCAGTTTTGATGGGAGCTTTCTCTGGATTCTGGCACTGCATTCCTCTGTAAGCATCACTGTCTAATTGTCCTCCAGCCTGCGTTTGTTTGATATAATATCTTTGAGAAACTTCGCGTAGCTGGCATTTGAAATAGTGCATCGGCTAGTGGGATGTTGATATGGAGCTTTTTGAAGACTTTTAGGAATTTTTTGTACTGTTGCTCCAATTTTTACTTTTTCAACCGCTGTGGAAAGAGAATCGGAGGTTCGTATGGATTGACTATGACTTTGGCCTTATCCTGTTACTTTTCTGAATTTTCCTTTAGAGTTGATTCCTTTGATTGTTCATCCTGTACAATAGTCTCTTCTTCAGCTGGAGAAGATGTCTCTGCAATCACACACGGTCTCTTGACATGGATTTTAGGTAGTTGTACTCCACTTCGAGTTGTAATGTCCATGGCTTGCTCTTTGGGATTGATTTCTGTGTTACTCATCAAGTTACCCGGCGTTCTGCCAGTAAATGCGATGGCACTTGAGTTTCTAAATTTTTTATGGCTATATTTTGATTTTGAAATGTAGCTTCGGCTTTCTCCATGAATTTTCCTATCATATCTTCCAACTAAGGCCTCTTCTCTTGTTGTTGAAATTGCCCATGTGGCCTATTTTGATTCTGGTTACTCCAAGAGAAGTTGGGATGCTTCTTCCAACTGGGATTGAAAGTTTCTCCATATTGATTGTGTTGTTGGCGTTGTCTCCACTGTGCATAGTTTGCTTGCTCAATTCCTTACATGAGTATTGGGCATTCCAATGTTTTATGCTCAACTCCACATTCTCGCAATTATTTTTTTTCGCTTGTGCTGCTTGTGATATTCTTTCCACCTTGTGATACAGAGAGTCAATTTTTGCAGATATTGCTGAATAAGTATCCACCTCGTAGATACCCGGGGTTTTTCTGGGAACCGCCCTCTCAGAAGACCACATGGTTGATGTGGTAGCCATTCTCTTAAATAATTTCAATGCCCCCATCAACTGTTCGTGTGGATATTGAGCCATCTGACGTTGAATCCACCATGCTCTTGTGGTATGGAAGTAAACTTGTGTAGAAGAATCGGATTTGGTTCTTTTTGTCAAACCCATGTTGAGGGCACTTCCTGAGCATGTTTTTGAATCTGTTCCAAGTTTCGTCAAATGATTCAGTTTCTCCTTGGCTGAATACTGATATGTCATGTCTCAGCTTCGCTATCTTGGCTGGTGAGAAAAACTTTGTGCAAAATTTGTGCGCCAACTCGTTCCATGTAGTAATTCTTGCAACTGGAAGTAAATCCAACCATTCAAGTGCTCCGTCTCATAGTGTGTGTAGAAACAGCCTTAGCTTAATAGCGTCGTCCGAAATCTCTTGGTATCTGAAATGTTAACACATATCAAAAAATCGAGATATGTGTGTATGTGGATTCTCCTCGGCCTTGTCATAGAACTGATGTCCATTTTGAAATAATTGTATCACATTTGTCTTCAACTGGAAATTCGGCTGCCCAAACGGTGGATACACTATGCTGGATTGACTTTGAATTACTTGAGGAGTCAAGAAATCTCCCAGAATCTTGTTTCCTTCGTCCATTGTCTCTCTTTCATTAGCTTGAATAATGGAATTGTTCAGTTTGTTAGCCATTTGTACTTGTGCTTCTCGGTGATCTATTTGTAATCGATGAAAGGTGTGCTCGATTTCAAGATCAGTTGGAATCAATTCTCCTCCAGTTGATCATGACATGCAAATCTGAAAGATAAAACCAATACGAGCACTGAGATTTAAATAATTTAAATAACTAAAACACAAATAAAGGATAATCACCTAAAATAGAAATAAAAACAAAATTATCCTAGCAAAATAAAAATTGAAGTTCGAATTAGTGCCTAGAAGAATAAAATTAAACTAAACCAATCCCCGGCAACAACGTAAAAAATTTGTTCACGAAATATTTTCTTTCGATTTAAAACGCAGTTTTATGAATACTTAAAGATTCACGAAGGGCATAGCGGTATATTTCTATCCCCTATTGGACCATACGATGGTTTATATTATGTCGAATCTATTCCAATTCTCTCGAATACTAGAATAAATCACCCAAACTCACACAATTACGAGCCCTTAATTGCGGAAACAATAATTACATATAAATCATTCAAACAATAGAAATATGTTTTAATGTCAAATTGTAAAACTAGAAAATTAAAGATCTAACTACATGGTACATCGATCTCCTAGCACATGAGAATCTAGCCTAACATAGTTAAAATAACAAAATACATTAGGTTTTGAATAAAAGGCATCACCGGGTTATGAAATCTAAAAGAAATCTTGAAGCTCTTTGTGCCAATCTTCGCTCTTGCGCTCAAAATCCTCTCCAAGAAGTGTCTTTCTGCCTCCAATTACGTTCTGCCTCTTTTTGGACGTCTTTTGGTATTTATATCGCGTGAAAATTAGGTTACCAAAAGAGTTTCAATCGTACAAGAAAAGTAAAATTTTCGCGTCGAAAACCTACCATGCGACCGCATGGCTTTAATCCATGCGGCCGCATGGTTATGCCATGTTGTCTCCAGAATTCCCTGCCCTCGTTCGTGCGACCGCACGAGAGTTCTACCATGCAGCCGCATGATAGACTCTAGCTTTCATTTTCTCCAATTTGGTCCCTCTACTTGAATCTTTCACTTTTTGGCATCTTTTCTTCATTCTTTCCATTCAATCATCCCAAGATATCATCAACTGGCATTTGGCTCAATCAATTTGTTGATTTGTTCATCGGGTCAACTTTTGGATAGTTTCACCTTAGTCCCTGAACTTTACTTTGCGTCATTTTAATCCTTTTTCGCGTCTTTTCTCCTAAATTTCACCGTGTTCATCGGTGTTCCCTACAATTCACAAATATAACAAAATTAAGTCGCAATTCAATCATTTTACTCGTAATTAAGTCATGTTTGTGACTTAAATTAGTGTGCAAAAACACACTTATCAAATATTATGTCACTTGTCGCACCTGTGTTAATTGAATATTCTCCCACATGCTAATTCCAAGTTCAAATGATTTTCATTTCTTAAGTGGCTCATGTTTGGCCTTAATTTTGACTTCTATCTCTGATGGTAATAAAGAAATGTTATTCAGGACATCATATTTCATCCTTATCATGGACCATCTGCCTACTTGTTTTCTAGTAAATTGTAAGCATTGTCATATTACTAAAGTATATGAGACTACAATGGATACTTTCACTTTTTTTTTGGCTTTCACCGAGCAGATAATTTGAAGATCTATCGTGTTTTGGCTGCAAATGTGATTGTTCTACTTAATTCGAGATTTTTTTTTACAACTATAGGATGATAGACAAACCTCTACATGCTGCAGATGCAATGCTTCAGTACATATATGGTATGAAATATTCGACGGTATTAAAGAACATTGATTCACCTAACTGAATATGCTATCATTGTACAATGACTAATCTAAACATTTACTTTTGTGTTAAGCAATTTATTGTCAAACGACTTCCCGGGCGATGATGTGAACTCGGTTCTATTTAATTTCAGTCGGCATTGACCATATGACTGAAGGTATGTCAACATCACTATTGAGACGACCCAATCCCAATTTTCTATGTATCATTAAAAACAACCTAATTTAATAGTATTGCTCGTGGCCCATCCCATTTACTTGGAAGGCTACTACCCATTTAGAGTCCATTACCTTTATGTTGGGACGTTTGGGCCACCACTCTGAACCTAACCTAACTTACCTTAATTGGTTTCTCACTTGGGCTATGTTTTCGATCTCCTCTCTAGTGCATCCAGGAAGAACTCTCACGCCTTCTCTTTGTGATTTCGATTTCTGCTCATTCTC